GTGGGAATTTTAGTCGGGGTTGATTACTACCATACTTTCATGACAGGCAAAGTTGTAAGAAGCAAGCACGGTCCGGTAGCATGCGGCACAAGAGTGGGATGGGTATTAAATGGTAGAATCAGTTCAGGTCCTTCTGACCTGTATTGTTTTGAGACCCATATTCTACGAGCTTCGGCTGAGAGTGAAGAGATAACCGATATACTAAGACAGGATCTAGAAAAATTCTGGTCGGTGGAAGCTGTCGGTGCTTTAGAAGACTGTGTAGTCAGCCGGTTTAAACAAGACATAGGGCATGACGGGACCAGATACGTAACTAAGTTGCCTTTCAAGCCAGATCATGAACCATTATCCGATAACTTTAATGTTTGTAAAGGACGCTTAAAAGCTCTGAAGCCCAGGTTAACCTCTAAAGGGATTCTCACGGCGTATAATGAGATCTTTAGCGAGTATGAAAAAAACGGCATAATTGAACGCGTTCCCTCACATGAGATTGCTAAGGAGATGGGTGGGCCCATTATCTTCCTCACAGACCCGTTGTGCGTGAGGACAAACAGACTACGAAAATACGTGCAGTTTTCGATGCATCATGCAAGGTTAATGGCCCCTCACTAAACGAATGCTTGTACTCGGGACCCAATCTTATTGCGAAGATTTTTGACATCCTGTTAAGATTTAGGCTTCATAAAATCGGTATATTAGCAGACATAAAGCAGGCATTTCTTAATATCGCTATATCTAGTGAACATAGAGATTTTGTGCGGTTCTTGTGGTATGATCTCGATTCGGAAGATGAGAAAATAGTAATTTATCGGTTTCTAAGGGTAGTTTTTGGACTAACGAGTAGCCCATTCCTATTAAATGCGACTTTAAGACACCACCTCAGTAAGTATGTATCGACAAATGCAGTTGTAGAGCGTATTGGCGAAGATTTATACGTAGACGATCTAGTTAGTGGGAGCAATAGTGTAAGCGCGGCTAAGGAATTATGTGACACCAGCAAAGCTATACTACAAGAGGCAGGGTTTGATTTACGTAAGTGGGTAACTAACGATCCAGAACTTCGTAAATATATTTCTTCGGCAATGGGTGAGACACCAGATTCCCAGTCATCAGGGGAAGATATGACCTATTTCGAAGCAGTGTCGCCCAATTTAGTTACTCCAAATCAAAGTGTATTGGGCATTTCGTGGGACACACGTACCGACGTGTCTTCCAGTTTGATTCCTTTGTGAGCAAATGTGCTCTTATGAAGCAAACAAAGCGCAATTTATTAAGTGCATCGGCTTCGATTTAAGATCCATTGGGTTTGATTGCTCCGGTTACTGCCAGAATAAAAACAATTTTTCAATTATTGTGCAAGGACAAATTAGATTGGGATGATCTCATTCCATCGAACCTCGCGGCATTATGGAACAAATTTTTAGAGGAACTAAAACTTTTCCGGGAAGTAAGACAAAGTCGATTTGTCTTTCATTTAAATTTTCCTCCGGCGGACCGAGTTGAACTTCACGGTTTTTGTGATAGTTCAAAGCAAGTATACTGTGCGGTTGTTTATCTTAGGTCTGTTTACAAACAAAACGTTAAGGTGTCTTTTCTAGCGGCTAAGACGAAGGTTGCTCCTTTAAAAACCCTTACCATTCCCAGGTTAGAGTTGTTAGGGTGTTTGTTGTTGAGCAAGTTAATTAATGAGGTTGTGAGTGGTATACGGGGACGTGTAGAGTTGGACGAAATATTTTGTTGGTCGGATTCAGAGGTGGCGTTGTGTTGGATAAAGGGAAAAGAAAGAAGCTGGAAACCTTGGGTAGAGAATCGGGTTGTTTCAATTAGGAAGGTTGTTGGTCGTGACCAATGGAATTTCATTAAAGGGGAAATCAATCCTGCTGATATCCCCACCAGGATATCAACTAATTTGGTTGAGTGTTTCTCCGGGTGTTGGTTCACAGGTGCTACGCTGTTGTTGGGTCAATCTGTTTGCATTAGTCATTTTTCTTCGGGCGGGAATGCTGGTGAAGAGGTTACGGTAACCTGTTCTACTGAGGCCAGTGTCAACACTGCAATACGAAACGACACACGAGATGAAACGGGTTCATTAGTTGCCGTCATTGACTGCACTAGGTATAGCTCATTGAAAAGGTTGATCCGCACCACCGGTTATATCATGAGATACCTAAACAATCTACGAAAGCGAGTGAACAAGCAAGAGGGATTAATCACGGACGGTGTTCTAACGGTGGATGAATACAACAACGCGTTAGCGAGGTGGATCAAAGAGGAACAATCAGTGTTAAAAGAACAATCTAACTTTGCTAACTTTCGTTCTTCGTTGAATTTGTACGAGGACAATGACGGTCTCCTGCGGTTGAAGGGACGGCTCGCCAATTCACGTTTGGAGTACCAAGAACAGCACCCAATGATACTTCGAAGCATAAAGAGTCACTTCACACGTTTACTTATCCACGACGCACATGAAGCCAGTATGCATCATGGAGTGGAGTCGACCTTGGCAAGAGTACGGGCAACCTACTGGATTGTGAAAGGAAGAAAGAGTGTGAAGGAAGTCCTCAGAAAGTGCGTGGTTTGCAAACGGTACCAAGGAAGACCCATGCGTGCTCCTTCAAGTCCTGACCTGCCGCAGACCAGAATCGATCATTCGGGATTCGCGTTCCAAGCAACGGGCTTGGATTTTGCGGGACCTTTATTTGTGAAGGAAGGCTCGGGCACGGTTAAAGTATACATTCTTTTGCTGACGTGTGCGACGAGCAGAGCTATTCACCTCGAACTCGTGTATTCAATGACAAGTGACGGATTCCTACGAGGGTTCCGACGATTCGTATCTCGGAGGGGTGTGCCTGATCTTATCATCAACGACAACTTTAAGACTTTCAAGTCGGCAGAGGTCAAGCGGTTTATGTCATGTCAAGGCATAAAACAACAGTTTATTCTCCCAGCGTCCCCATGGTGGGGTGGATTTTACGAGCGCCTCGTACGGTCAGTAAAGTCCTGCTTGAAGAAGACACTCGGGAGGGCGCATACAACGTTTGAGGAGCTCCAGACTGTTCTGTGCGAGGTAGAAATCGCAATAAATAATCGGCCCTTGGCGTACGTCAGTGATGACGATCTGGATGAACCGTTGACCCCATTCCATCTAATGCATGGGCGCGGTTTTGCAAGCGGATGAAAGAGACGGACGTTTCACTCACGGCGAGCCTCGGACAGTACAAGCAACGATTAAAACATTTGAGAAAAATCCTCAAAGATTGTTGGACACGGTTTCGGAGGGAATACATAAACGAGCTGCGACAGATGAATCTTTACCGGAAGAGAAAAACCGGTTCGCGAGATCTCACAGTTGGCGATATCGCGTTGATCAAAGATGACCTACCTACACCGGAGCGCAGTGGAGGATGGGAAGAGTTCTTCAGCACGTGAAGGGGCGTGATGGCGTGGTTAGAGGGGCCAAACTCAAGGTCCTCGCGAAAGGTGGAGCGCAGACATCGGTTTATCGACCATTACAAAAGTTGATACCGTTCGAGATCGTTGAACGCAATGATACGACAGATAAAGAAGGGGACGAAGACACGAATGAAGAAACGGGCGAAACCAGGGAAACGGAGTTGGAGACGGAAGATCAGACCACAGGAAGGAGACCACCGAGGAAAGCAGCAATTCAGGGAGAAGAATTACGTAGACTCCGCCAACAATATTCATGAACATTCACTATAGTTAACGACTTTCTTTGGTTGGGGAGGATGTAGAAAACAGTAGACCTTTATATTTAAATTTATTTGATTGGTTGATCAATTAAGTCACGGGACAGATTAGGTTGCACTATCGCACCTGGGGGCACTATTGAGAAGTCAGCCAAGCGGACAACATGAGAATCATGTAGGCTTGGGACTTGTGTTATTAAATAAATAGTTTCTAAAAAGCAAAGAGGCTAACGCTTTTTATACCTTCCTCATCAAACATGCAATATAGAATATTCAGCCCTGCCCACACGACGCCGAAAGACTTTAAAAATGTTGGAATACTTTTACGGTGACGGCCTGACTGACGGGTTTCGTACAAACGTATCCGGCGTTTCCGTCCACTGAAAACGGAAGAACTTGAAAACGACGACTGAGACCCCATTTACACTAGAGCGAAAGTTTCCGCATTTATCACGAAAGCGGAATGTTTTAGTACCGGATTCATGTTGCTGTTTACACACGCAGCAACGAATCCGATAGAAAATGAACTCGGTTTTAAACGGACAAATCCGCATACAGAGACAACTAAAGTGTAGTGTAAACACTTGAAGAATCCGATACATGTGTGTAACAATGAATCCGGATAAATTTACAAATCCGGAAACTTTCGTTCTAGTGACAGTGTAAACGGGGTCTGAGTGGATGTGTGTGGTCACGGATTTGCCGGATAAATTTGAAAACGATATGAAAACGATGACGTAACGTATCAAGTCAATTCCATATTTAACGAGGTTTGTTTCCAGCCTTGTGACTTAGGCCGGTTGTTTTCAAATATAGGGTGAATAGGCAGAGTTTTGCCACTGAGTTTTGTGCACGGGATGAAAATATTTGTTACCTGTGCGCTCTCCGAAAAGCAAAGAAAAACTCCACTCTGCGCGTCCCATACTTCCATCATGGATAATAAACTATCCATGCATCCATTAGTCTTTTAACCATCCATGCTTCCATAAACACTAAAAGGCACAATACTCTCGAACCGAGTAAATTTCAAAACTAATATATACCAGTGCCTTTTGGGTGAAGGCATTTTCTACATGGAGATGAAATGGAAAATTGTGAAAAAACACAATAATTATATATACAGTAGGAGGCAAAAGTTTGAGTCCCGTGACTGTATTTCATTGTTTTAGCAGCATACATTAATTTTCTACAGAAAACCTTACGGATAAGTGAACTAGAAAAAAGTAAATGAGTAAACTGAAAAATACATGCTGCACAACAACTATGAGATGTTATGATATTCATGTAACGTATGTTAATGTGCAAACATGCATTACATGTGAATGCCTTTTATCCCTCTTTTTTGCTCATGAAACGGCCTTTATTTAGGCTGGAATAGATTTCATAGGTTTTTTAGTGTCTCACGTTCAATACCTTGCCAGCATTGGTTGACCACTTGTCTCAAGTCATCGTGGCTGCTGGGTCTCTGCCTGGCCCTTTTCCGGTTGAAACGGTCCTAAAAATGTTCCATAAGTTTTAGATCTGAAATTTGAAGTGGAAATTAAGCCATGAGAACGAGATCACCAGAACGAGTTTGCTTCTAAAAGATTTCTGGCACATAGAAGATGTGCATGTGCTCAGGGTGATTACCATGTAGTTAGACGCGCAATCATCTTTTTGCCAGATGAAATTCCATGACCTTGATACTTTTCCTTGATTAGGATTCTATCATATCTATTATATATATATACACCCATTTGCAAAAACGTTGGCCGCATATAGATAGATAGATAGATACTCGAAATCTAATTAGAATTGCATATGTTGTGTAATATGATTGAAATCCCATGCATGCAAATGTAATCATATGCAATTCTAATTAGACTTCGAGTATGTATCTATCTATCTATCTGCGGCCAACGTTTTTGCAAATGGGTGTATATATACAGTAGGAGGCAAAAGTTTGAGTCCAGTCGTTGTAGAATTCCAGTATTAAATCCTGGCAGCGTATTCGAGTTAAGACATGCGTGCTAGTGTTTCAGTACTGTAAACTATATTAATTGCACACTGTTTTGGTCCTAATGATCTAAATTATAACAAAATAAAGTTCTCATTCCTTTACACTGCCCAAAATGGGTGGGAAAAAGGGCAAAGTGATGGTGCACAAGGACAAATAGCATTAAGTATTGAAGGATTCTTTCCTCGTAAGGTCGCAGAAAAAGTGAGAATTTAAAAAGGTTGTATGCAACTAACCTTGGACGGTTCGAAGAAACTAAATCCTACTCAAGCAAACTTTTAGCTGCTTTGGTCATGCTCGGTTTGGCAATATTGAAAGATATAATAGGATCCTAATTAAAGAAAAGTATCATCCAATTCTTCAAGGACATGGAATTTCATCTGGTACAAAGATGATCGCACGTCTAACTACATGATAATCACCCTAAGCACATGCACATCTTCTATGTGCCAGAAATCTTTTAGAAGCAAATTCATTCTGGTGATCTCGTTGTCATGGCTTTCCACCTCATATTCCAGATCTAAAACCTATGGAGCACTTGTAGAACCGTTTTAACCGGAAGAGGGCGAGGCACAGACCCGCCAGCCAGGCTGACTTGAGGCAAGTGGTCAACGAATGCTGGCAAGGTATTGAACGTGTGACATTAAAAAACCTATGGAATCTATGCGAGCAAGAATAAAGGTCATTTCAAGAGCAAAAAGAGGGAACTAAGCAATGACATGTAAATGCATGTTTGCACATTAAAATACGTAAAAATGAATATCATAACATCTCATAGTTGTTGTACAGCATGTATTTTTCTGTTTACTTATTTACTTTTTTCTAGTTCACTTATCGGTAAGGTTTTCTGTAGGATATTAATATATGCTGCTAAAACAATGAAATACAGTCACTGGACTCAAACTTTTGCCTCCTACTGTATATATATATATATATATATATATATATATATACACCCGTTTGCAAAAACGTTGGCCGCAGATAGATATATAGATAGATACCCGAAATCTAATTAGAATTGCATATGTTGTGTAATATGATTGAAATCCCATGCAAATGTATTCATATGCAATTCTAATTAGACTTCGAGTATCTATCTATCTATCTATCTGCGGCCAACGTTTTTGCAAATGGGTGTATATTATATATATATATATATATATTATATATATATATATATATATATATATATATATATATATATATATATATATATATGTATATATATATATATATATATATGTAAGGTGTATTTTGCTAATAGTAGCGTGCCAACTTAATCCTGGTATTCATTTAGTCGTAATAGTCGTGAACAAATCATTTTCACCGATGAGAAATAGTCAGGATGTAAATTTTTCTTTGTTTCTGTATTCAATCGGTCATTGTAGACTGCACACACATAGAAATATTCTATCATATCAGCCACCATGACATGTTTACGACACTCACGATTAATAGTTGGCAACTAATATTTGCCTGGAATATTTACCTTAAATTACGAAACAATAGCAAATGCTCCCAGTCACCCTGGTGCACAAAAACATAGGGATAGCCAAGTTTAATTGTTAAATCCTCAAACTTTGTCTCTTCCATTTTCTTGCTTGAACAAACACGGTATCGAGGTAGCTCGCCATTGTGCTTTTTGTTATTCCAATCCATATAAAGTCTGAAAAGAAGTGAAAAAGCAACATTTAAGTTCACGTATTTTAGCGGAAAACGTCCAAAACATCAAACCTTTTCGGTGTACCACCAAGGGCGTAACTAGAACGATAACTGGGGGGGTGTTATTAATTTTTTCAGTTCTACTCGCGACGGCCGGGTTTCTTTTGTGCATTGCACTTAGAAAAGACATCCGTCGCGCAGAACGAAATGTACATGAATAATCACCCCTCACCAAATATCGATCTATAGTTACGCCCCTGTGTCAAAGTCCTTCAGCTCCATTCTTTACATTATATAGTCTAAGGGCTGTTTTTCACTGTCGTGTTTTTTGCACGTACGTACACGCACGCTTAAAACCTTCTAAGTTGTTGTATGATTAATTTCATGCCAGAAAAAAAACACGCATCAAATCATCAACAGAATTCAACCCGATGAATTTTTCATAAGTGTCATTTAAAGGATTTTAGGCTTTTAGATTCGTATAGACATACGCACAAAAAACGCGATAGTGGAAAACAGCCGTAAATCTTAAACAGTATTTAGTATTAACACCAAGCAACAAGAGTTTTTTCTTAAAAATATAATGGAGAATTATTGGCACGAATGTCAACGCCATTGCGACTGAAATGAATACTATGAATAAAGAAGAATACTATAAAAGTGACCTTTTTTCTTTGCGTATACACCGAGAAATCTCTTTCAACATTTTTGTTTTCAGATTATGTAGTACTTTGTGAACATAGCTAATTTTCTGGGGCCGGTTGTTCGAAAGGCGTTTAGCTTAAACGGTGGATAAGCCAAAGTTTAAAAATACTCTCATAGATATTGTGAATGACTGAACCTGCATCTTATGCATTTAATATGTACTTCCATTGACAATTAAACTATTTACATCGAAATATTTCGGCTACGTTGTTCAATAAATACATAATTTTGTTTTCGATTTTTAACTTATCCACCGTTTAAGCTAAACGCCTTTCGAACAACCACCCCCAGCTTTCCAGCTTCGCAAAACATTTTAAAATGTTAAAATCGTTAGAGTACTGCATGTTGGGAGATGATATAAGGTTTTGAACACATATTACGCGACATAAAAATGAAACACCATGCAATGCCAATGGGTTGATCCGTATCTTTTTTGGCGTTTCATCGCCTTCTTATAACCTTGCATATAGTCAGATATCAGATTTTCACTTCAAATCGTCGTCTATCCAAACCCAAGAATCACTTTGTCCCAGATACATGTAACAGCTTTTTATCACCAAAATCAATAACCATCTCTTTGCATGCATTCTTTCCTCTTACACCTTACTTAATTATAAAACGAGTGATATTCTACGATACTTCATGCATGCTTGAAGAATGCAAATTTAAATCAAGTTCATAATTCTGACGAGATAGAGTGCATGTTTTGACGTCGGTTGAAATATACTACAGGGTGTATGAAAAAAAAGTAGACAATTGTTAAAATGTCCATAAACTGAAAATTTCGCAAAATGTCTGAAGAACGTGTGTTGATATAGGTATTTTAGGGTCTCTTGACCACTTTAACACTGAAATAAATAAAAAAAATTATATCGACGTGTAGGAATGATTATTTTCAAACACCACCTAAAACAACCCTCGCGCACAAAAACGGACTGTTCAAATCTTAATTCATTATCATAGGTTGAAAGTTTGGGTAATGTTTTATAAACTATCAAAGTTCCAGACAATTTGGTGTACATTAAATCCACCGGGCGGCCTCTCGAACTTGGACTTTTTTGCTATTTTTGGCCTTTCTCACATACTTTTTGCAGCTCACAAATGATTTCACGCATGATTAATGTAAAATATCAATAATGCATGAATTATTACCGCGTGAAACGCATGGTGTTTGAAAATAATCATTCCTACACGTCGATATAATTTTTTTTTATTTATTTGAGTGTTAAAGTGGTCAAGAGACCCTAAAATACCTATATCAACACACGTTCTTCAGACTTTTTGCGAAATTTTCAGTTTATGGACATTTTAACAATTGTCTACTTTTTTTTTATACACCATGTATAGCCTATAACAGTGGACTTTGATACAAAATTAAAAAACTTACTTGCTATAATTTCGACATAAATCGCTTCTGGTGTCATTGTAGAAAACACTCTCAATGAATATAAAAGCAGACGGGCAAATATCCTACAAATGATAGTGCATTATTGAAAATTATTGAAAAACTTACTTTCTGGAACGGTAATTTCACAGACACATCAAGTTTGCCTTTATATATTATTGAGCAATTCTTATTGGGCATTGCATTAGGCCTTCCAACGGATTAAATTAAAGGGCATATGGTAAAACATGGACTGGACTGGACTAGTAAAAGGTGGACTGGACTCATTAGTAAAAGGTGGACTGGACCGATAAAGCCCCGATTAGTAAAAGGTGGACTGGACTCGTTAGTAAAAGGTGGACTGGACTCGTTAGTAAAAGGTGGACTGGACCGATAAAGCCCCGATTAGTAAAAGGTGGACTGGACTCGTTAGTAAAAGGTGGACTGGACTCATTAGTAAAAGGTGGACTGGACCGATAAAGCCCCGATTAGTAAAAGGTGGACTGGACTCGTTAGTAAAAGGTGGACTGGACTCGTTAGTAAAAGGTGGACTGGACTCGTTAGTAAAAGGTGGACTCTAACCGGAAGCACCGAAACACCATTCCGGAAATGAATACGTAAACAATATTCAGGGGGGAGATAAACACTAAAAAGTACCAAAAAACACTATTAGGCATTCAATATTTTATGATTTCGTGTACCAATGTACACAAAACAAAGACTTTATTTTGGTTATTTACCGTCAATCCATATAATGATTATTCTTAACTTAACGGTAAGCAACTCTTCTAGCATCAATTTATATCAAAACTTTCTACTCAAGACTTTCGTATAAGGAGCTATAAACATAGCGGTGATATATATCGACCGTCGGCTATACGATTTCATACGAAGAGTAGATATAAAAGAGGGTTCACTCTTCGAAATTCCAATAATTTAGCATCAATGATTAGATACATATCTACTCTTTGGTTATATCCATCCTGGGATTACAACAATGAGAACTAAGAAATTGCAAAGTGCAAGTATTTTTCATGGGCTGTGCTGCTACAAAATTTTAAATAAATATATGGGTTTGACTTTTGGCATACTGTTCCAGTACGATTAGCCATTTCGTAATTTTTTTACTTTTACAATTTGATTTCTTATTTTTTGTAGATTTTCTGCAGGTTTGCATTAATGCATAGTATAAAATATATTTTAGTTAATGTGAACACACAACATGAATATTTATTGCCAAATATTAATACAAGTTATTAATATAAAACTATAATTTACCTCCATACGACTGCACAAAATGTGTCTATTTATTTATTTATTGACATCAATTATTAACTCAGTGAGACTTTTGCCAGAACTAGCTAGTGCAGATGTCTATTATAGACACAATAAATAAATAACATAAAAGGCCAACCGACCAATATTTTTTGTTGGATTACAGATTTTGCTCTCTAATATTAGAGGGCGGTGGGTGGAAAAGACAAAAAAAGGAATTAATTTCCCGATCTCTTACCAACCCTGTATTTATTAAAACAAACTCCACAGGTATTAATAGTACAATGTGAAGACAAGTATAGATGATATTTGAAAGTATGTCAATGTATTTTCGGCATATTACTTTCAAAATGATACTAAGTACTTTCTAAAATATGGTTGTGAGAAGACAAAAATAAAACATGAAAACTAATGGTAGCATTTTATTTAATCTCTTCTTTTTAAAAAAAACAGGTAAAGGAAATCTGTAATCCAACTTGTTTATTGTGTTTATAATAGACATCTGCACTAGCTAGTTCTGGCAAAAGTCTCACTGGGTTAATAATTGATGTCAATAAATAAATAAATAGACACATTTTGTGCAGTCGTATGGAGGTAAATTATAGTTTTATATTAATAACTTGTATTAATATTTGGCAATAAATATTCATGTTGTGTGTTCACATAAACTAAAATATATTTTATACTATGCATTAATGCAAACCTGCAGAAAATCTACAAAAAATAAGAAATGAAATTGTAAAAGTAAAAAAATTACGAAATGGCTAATCGTACTGGAACAGTATGCCAAAAGTCAAACCCATATATTTATTTAAAATTTTGTAGCAGCACAGCCCATGAAAAATACTTGCACTTTGCAATTTCTTAGTTCTCATTGTTGTTATCCCAGGATGGATATAACCAAAGAGTAGATATGTATCTAATCATTGATGCTAAATTATTGGAATTTCGAAGAGTGAACCCTCTTTTATATCTACTCTTCGTATGAAATCGTATAGCCGACGGTCGATATATATCACCGCTATGTTTATAGCTCCTTATACGAAAGTCTTGAGTAGAAAGTTTTGATATAAATTGATGCTAGAAGAGTTGCTTACCGTTAAGTTAAGAATAATCATTATATGGATTGACGGTAAATAACCAAAATAAAGTCTTTGTTTTGTGTACATTGGTACACGAAATCATAAAATATTGAATGCCTAATAGTGTTTTTTGGTACTTTTTAGTGTTTATCTCCCCCCTGAATATTGTTTACGTATTCATTTCCGGAATGGTGTTTCGGTGCTTCCGGTTAGAGTCCACCTTTTACTAACGAGTCCAGTCCACCTTTTACTAACGAGTCCAGTCCACCTTTTACTAACGAGTCCAGTCCACCTTTTACTAATCGGGGCTTTATCGGTCCAGTCCACCTTTTACTAATGAGTCCAGTCCACCTTTTACTAGTCCAGTCCAGTCCATGTTTTACCATATGCCAAATTAAAGTACCTAATGAAAGGTAAATAATTTTATGGCAACCCAACATTTAGGAACCAGTCTTCGTTTTCGCAATTTAACAAACCAGTCGCCTAACATAACAGTATTTTTCTTCTTGCAGGAGAGTGAACACTATACCTTGCCTGTAGCGATTCTTGGAAAATCGGGATTCTCGCTGTGCTCCCCGACGACAATAGAATCCGCGGGACAAGATATTTTGTCACGTAAATCAGTTCATGTCTAAAACGGAAAAACATGTCCCGCATTAGCCTGGCACTATATGTATCTTAACGTGCAAAAACAGCGCACATCAACTAATATAGAGTACATGGGTTCTATGCAAACGTCACTGCTGTTTTTGTTCAATTAAATAAGAATTAGGCACACGTACGACCAAGCGAGCTGTGTGCATGTTACTTATATTAATTAAAATTCTTGATTATGAACAGATTTTATGACGCATTGATAAACGTTTCGCCTTCTTTCATATCTCTCTACTATTTGACTGAGGTACTATTGCATGAAGCAGTACTCAAAACTGGGGCTAAGGCTACGTTCGCACAGGACGGGGCGAATTTAGGACCGTGCTCAAATTCGTCTGGTTACCTCGCGTGAACACGTAAAACCGGTAAAATATTCATTCGTTTCCACCGTGTGAACACCTGAACCGAACGAATTAGAACACGTTTGCGAATTTGTCCGGTCCCTAAGTCACGGATGGAAATACATCTGAGGAAAACTACTGCTTTATTGCTTGCAATTGGCAAGCCAATCTTGTCGACTATGCAAATTGTTGCAAGTTTGGAAGCAAGAAGATGGTAAAAAGGTTCTTAAATCGTTTTAGCATTTTATTTCTGCTATGTAGCTAAAGATATTTTCGTGATCAATGACAGAGAAAATCATGAATCTCTGAAAAGAATTTGATGATTTGCTATGTGGTTGCTACCACGTATGTAGGTAGCTACAATGCAAGGAGTATCAAGAATTTTCAACTCAACTTTGTCCTTGAAGATCTGTTCACACAATTCAAATTTTGTCGGATCCGATTCACTGCTGATGGATGTTTTATAGTCAGTTGACTTGCAATGTATATATATATATATATATATATATATATATATATATATATATATAAAGGCAGCAAATCAACTAAAACCAATGCACGCAGTACTGTTTTATCGATAACAAACCACATTCCATACGTAAGAAGTGAATTGGATCCGACATAATGGATAGTGTGAACGGACCTTAAATCAAAAGATTTTAGTTACCTTGAGTGAGGAACAAAACTGCATGCCAAAACTGCAAATATATCGTGTAACTTTCCACATGTACTGTACAATATGCATGAAAACAATGCTAATTACGTTTTAGCAATAGCTATGTCCTACCTCTCTTCCAAGTACCAAAAATTCTTGAATTTTTCGTAACAATATTAAGACAGAGAAAAAATTATGCATACATATAAATATGAAATACTTTATAATTCTTGAAATAGTATTGATTAATTACCTTCATGGGATGATATAGTGCTGCAGAAAGGACAACTTCTTGTCTATCTATTTTATGACCGGTGACAGCTGCTTTCGCCTTTTGCTAGAACAAACAGAGCAAGCTAAATAAGTTGTTCTAGGTTTTGAATGGAATACCTACTCGTCCCGAATTTCTAGACTGTTTATGAAATTGAAATTATTGAAAGTCGCTATTCGCTGAAGAAGTTTTAAGATTGATAGACGTTAGCTTTAAGATTAGTAAGTTTAAACCCAAATCTAAGAATGTTTATATACCTACCAGCTGTTCTGAAAGGATGATATAATTCTTTTGTTTGAATGATGCTCAGCGAGAATTTCTGGATTCAGGTAACACGCTGTGAAATACAGGAAAAGTGCTAAATGAGATCAGGTTTTCAAATACATTATTAAACATGCACAATTACGCTTAAATTACGTTCTCAAATACATTATTAACACAATTACGCTAAAAGAGATACTCTTGATCAAGTCTTGATAGGCCTTTAGCAGGGATGACTAAATTAGGAATGAGAATTGGGGGGGGGGGAGGAGTATGTTTATTCATATATTTGGTTCTTCCGGAAGAATTTCTTTTGCGAATTTCTTATGCAAATTTAGTCAGGGTTTTATAAACAAATGCTGTATTAGATCATACTGTGACTATGTATATATTATTTAACGAATAAATAATGTTGAACCATTGTTGCTTCAGTTATAGATACATAGTATGGCATATCATTTGTGATAAGAACAAAATAGTTGCCACAAAATAGTAGCTGCCGGGGCAAGCCGAAAAAGTTCCCTAATTAACAGGTAAACAGTTCATTTTTGTTTTCCCCAATACCTAGAAAATTTTTAAAGTGTTAAGATAAGCGCTAAAATGTGATTGCCTAACAAAATAAACTTGTAAGCGATCACTGATCAAATTCATTAAAACTTTCTGATTAGTCACTCTGTGCATGTGTCCTCTTATAGATCATGGCTCTCAACCAATGAAATTGCTTAAATTCGACTCAACATTCTTATATAAACAACTATTATACAGGACATGGGAGAAGCAAGGATTTGAGCAATTATATGATTCCTTAGGGCAGATACTTTACCATTAAAATTTACCATAAGACTTACTGTATTTCCTTATTAAACATATTATATTCTTATATTCTTTTTCCATTGTTTTCATCCTGTGAATTTTGCCTGAATTTTAGCAGGGCTTCAACCTCTTGTTACACTCTATAATGTGTAAGGCTGATAGAACACTTTATCTAACAATTAGAATGATCTTATTATGATGTAACTGCTCACATTGACAACCATGTTTCACATGCATGCATGTGAAATATTAAGTGACACAAAGAATTGGATTTGAATCAGTTGAATCTATTTATAATGTATAATTACCTTAAAAGACAATTGAAATATTAAGAATTAAATCCATTGATTTAATTTAGTAAGCTCATGGTCTATTGTGCAGTACTAGTGAAACAGAACCTGGCTGGTCATTGCAAGGCATGCTTTTCAGTATGGGTGAGTTAGTGTGTATAAGCCCACTGGAAATTTTAAACAACCCAAAAAGTTTAGAGCAATCTTGGCATGATTATACTGCATGGTGTTCTTGTAATTATCATCAATTGACTTGTCAATTAGCTTGCACAATATAGGAAGGTGGTAGCAAGGGTCCTGTTGTTAAGGAAAGGTTAAGTACATTTTTTCACTACATAACTTATTATGACATTCTGGTATTTTATCAGATTTGTACCAATATTATTATATTAGAGATTGTACAAAGGCTGGAGAGTACATGCAGTATGTCCACAGGATAATCATTTCTGTACAAAAGCTTGAAAGCTATAGGCACTGTAGCCCAACTATACCTATGCTTTTTATATACGTACTTAATTCATAATATATACGTACTTATTCTGTTACATTTATCTTATAAAACCTCAAAATCTTTCCGGGTTGTTGATTGTAATCATTGATTCATTGTATTATCTCACATATTATGCTTATAAAAATGGATTATTTAATTACGCATACAATTATTGTTCCACGTTTTTCTTAAAATATCTAAAGGTTGGAAACTTCATTCGATAGATAGCGCTATGACGCTATCCAGCTTTCGTACAACCTGTCTCTGCAGTTTTTGGTCAAGTATAAAGGCAAAGTAAAAAAAAACGAAAAGTTATAAATACTTCAATTTACCTACAAACATCTTCAACTTCTTTTAAGGTGTCCTGGGTTATATTCTCCAAAAGTTTTGATCGATCTCTAATATTTTCTTCAAGACTAATATCCTCAACATCAAGTGTTGAGGTCATTTCCTTTTTGAAATCCTTTACATTTACCAGCGAAGAGAACTTAAAAAAACGCCATGTTGAATTTAAGACGATGAGGTACTTCATGTATGCCTCTTACGAAGTCCTAAAATGACGCCCAGACAAAGACATGGACCATGAAGACTTCAGATTTCTGAGAAACGCCTTGGGCTTGGTGTTTGACAATTTACTTTCAAAATACGTCTTGCTATAACAGTAACAACAGATATGATGCAATTCGCGATGTAATTGATCAAATTTGATTTTAATGACACGTCTTCAACTGTTTCTTAACGAAGCGTAAAACGACTTTGCGGTATTGAAATGAGTAAATGACATATCCCTGGCAGTAGCAAAACATCGCATAGAATCGTGCAAATATGGACACGTTAGCATCGTCAGCTCAATGAAACACTAAAAACAAACAGGAAATTTAACCTCGAAAAACGGGAGAGGGGTTTGTGAAAACATCAGTTTGAATGGTTTGTGCAAGCAATGATGTGTTAAAAATGAATTTTGATTATATCGAATGAAGGTTTAGGTTTTGGTTTCCAAAATATGGGAAATTCAGGAATATTTTTTGGCGGCTCGACTCATAGCTTGCGTGACGTTAATGCTCGAATAATTATGTAAGTAAGAATGATTGCATGCTTGCAATAACTCATTTGTTCGTATTTTTTTCTTTGAAGTTATCTAAATAAAGTCTAACGTTTGTGCCACTCCACCGGAAAACCTGGCCAAGATTGAAGCGAGAGTTCAACATGGGATGGATATTCTGAAACATAACCGGCCAGTGGTTCCTTCTGCCGTTTTTAACATGATAAAGTCAAACCGAGAGCACAAGAAGAACAAGACTTTGTGTGGATATAGAAACGGGGGACTGAAATTAATTTTTGTAAATCCTGCTCTTATTTGGCTTTGTACTCTAACGTGTTGCTGTAAAAAATTAATGCGAACCTCTGAACCTCCGAATGTAATGTTTCCCCTTTTGCTGAAGCCTAGCGGTTCATACGTCCCATTTTCTTTCCATTTGCTCTACTTTATTTATTGTAAAGGTTCAGTTAATTAATCAAAAATGATTGATCAGACGATTACCATGAAATCTAAATCTCCATATTTAAACATCTCAGGCACTTGCCAAGCATGCGCGGTTGATAACTTTTCGCCCACGCGCACTATAAAATTCAGGTACATAAAAACGCCGTATTTAATATAATTTATATTGTATATGTATTAAAACGCCGTATTTTCTATACACCACGTAGTTCCGCCGTAGTCCCCGGCGCGTGTTTTCGTTTTAATATAATTGCAATAAATTTAAAAAAACATGCGCCGGGGTGAGGCTGACATAGACACATAGTCCCAGCTTTGTACATCATTGAATCTACTCTGGCAAAGAGTAACCAATAGACACAGAGCTGGAACTAGGTGACAGAAAGTACTTAAAAACATGACGGGACATTCTTTTTTCATAAAAAAGAAGCGAATATAGGAGAGAGTTTCATAGGCATTTTGGATAATTCTCTTATTCCAAGCAATATTTCAATAATGTAATGCAACCTGCCACACTTCCAAGATATCGTCAAACAATGGTGTCAGGAAGAGGGAGTGACAGAAATGGATTGAACTGCACAGTCAAAAGGCCTAGTATTGAACATCTGTGGGACAATGTGAAGATAAAATAGAGAGAAGCTAAAGAGCTTCTGCTAAAACAACATGACGAGGAACTCCTTTCTCTCAAACACGAGATTGGGGAAAAAGCTGGCAGCATTGACTTGATGAAGCCAGTCCACGATGGTCCTCTTGAATATCTTCCAAAACCAACCAAAAATATTGTGGAGGATTCGAAATTAAACAACATGATATTACTTGAAAATCCTTACTTTATTTGGAGTTACTATTGTAATTGTGTATAATATTACTTATTACAAGAATTTCTTATTATTATTGTAATAACTGCGTTATTGTGAGTTTCGCTTTCTTCCCATATATTTTTGTTGCTTTAAATTACAAAAACGAGAGGAAAAGGTTAATCTCCCATTGAAATGCATTGACCTAACCTCATACAAATATTACACTATATAGTCTATATTCTATTTATGCATGGATTTCTAAGACCTGGACCCCCTATACTTCACGTCTGTGATCTCGCAATATCTAACTAATAGAAATAATTTGGCTTATCTTTTGATTCTTTGTTCAAAATACAAGCTAACATACAATGGGACCTTGTACTCTATTACCGCTTGACAGATCAGTTAAAATAACTGAATCTAATCATATGAAAACAACTATAAACTGGTAATGGTAACACAGTAAAATATAACTAAGGGCCTGTTTATATGATCCCGCCTAGCCGGAACGGGACAGTTTCCGAGATCCCGCTTGTAATACAAACACTAATTAGTGTTTACATGACCACTTTTCCATCTTCTTGCACTTCTTGCCGGGATCCCGCTTAAAGGCGGGACGAGAAATTGCCATATAAACACTCCATCCCGCTTAACCGAGATGATTCGCGATTAACATACATTAGGAGCATGTGTATATATTGGCATATTCGTTTCTACAATAAAACATGCCGTCGAAGGAACCTGCACTACAAAATGAACTCCATATAAACACGCCATCCCGCCTAGGCGAGTTTCCCGGCTAAGCGGGATGAAAACATCCCGTCCCGGCTAAACGGGATCATATAAACAGGCCCTAGGCCTTGTTCTTTACATATAAATATCATTTTAGTTAACGCTGTTGTGGTACAGTCCTTGTCTTAAAGATCGACCATCTTGGAAGGTAACATTGACCATGCTAGGCAACTTGTTGAGTGGATGAGAGACAAGACGTTTGGTTGGCAAATTTGTTATCGAGCTTCACGTGACGGTTGGGAAGAAAGAGATTTTCATAGAAAGTGTGACGATGTCGAATCAACATTAATCTTGGTGAAATGTGGGACAAACATCTTTGATAGTTTTACTGATCAAAGTTGGAAGTCATCAACAGGTATAATTTGCACTAAATATATAGCGCACCAAATACTGGACATTGGTCAATATAAACTCTTGCGGGCTTGCTTCAACGAACATTTACGTCCCGGAGTTCAATGAAATTTTCATTATATGATTTTTATTATCTTGTTTCCTGAATGAATTATCTTAGATATGAATCATTGTCTATTAGAAACCGGTTATTAATTTGCATAAATTGTATCGGTAGAGTCAGTGTATAATGAATAACAAACAGCATAATTATATGTAGGCAAAATAGGACGGCATTTTCTTGAATTTCCCTACACGATTGTGTACTTTGGAACAAGCGAGCGTTTGCCGAACATGGCGCGTTCCAGGTTGTCCCCGTAAATATGAATCTACGTAGGTCTACGTAGATATTCTTTCTCAGAGGATTATTCATAGGGTCTATAATAAAAATTTCTAATTAACAATTAAAAGAGATGGCTGAGAAGAAGAGAGACGATTTTGGAAAACAGTTGAATGAGCTGAAGGAAAAGATCAAAAAGGTAGAAGCGAAGATTGAAAATAAATTACAGAATATTGAAGCGTTGTTGGTAAACTATCAAAAAAGGGGTTCAGGTCCATTAACAGAGCATTTAGAGTGTTTTGTTTGAAGTCAAAAGTTTAATGGATGTTAAAAGATTTTCGTTATTGCTTGAAAGTGAGGAATTCTTACGACTTCCTTAATTGAATTGCTTGAAACTTGAAAAATGTACCTCCATGAGTTTGAGACATTATTATTATTATTATTATTATTGTTATTAGTTCATTAAAATCGTATCGCAGTATAACTGAATTACACGATTATCATAACATACAGTATTAAATATTATAAATACTGAATAGGTTTAAAAAAATAATCACTAGTCTATTTAAATAGGCCGTAGACCGGCTATTGTTTTGGTTTCGTATAGACAATAGTCATAAGCGGATTCGTGAGATTTTTTTTAACAATATATTCTACTGGGTTACAAAAGTTTGTCTTGGATTCCCTTAACCTATGAGCAAACAGCTTGCAAGCCACGTCTCAACAATTTATCAAGGTATCAAGTTCTGTATCAACCAGCGCGTCAGCATTTGACAACGTCGGGCAAATAATTTTAAGAGCACGACCGCTCGCGTAGCCAATCAGATTGCAGGAAAAGCTAGCAGCAAGAAAAAAAATAAGTATAGTAATGTTTAAAAAGCTTATTATTCCTCTTTTTATGGCAAACTGGGAAATCTCATTTACGACTCAGAGAAATAAACTCGGAGAATCCCGCGGAATGATCTCAAAAGCTGTCGAATCGTCCACAAATTTGATACGGCCCTGCCAATTATTTAGAAGCTGGTACCAGACGAGGATTGCAAACAAGATAGGGCCAAGTTTGGTACCTTATGCTAAGCCACTATTAGTTTTCTTCCATGAGAAATAGCAATTGTCAATTTTGACAAAATTGTTTGCGGTCAGTAAGGAAGTCATGGATCCACCGAACAATAGAAGGATGGAAATCGAGACGTTTTAATTCTTCAATTATGTTATCGTCGACCAGGTCGAAACCTTTTCTAAAATCCGCAAAGTATGTAATAGGTAGACTAAAGGCTAATTTCCACTCCGGAAAACGAGCAGCGGATAGGATCTGGTCCGATCCATGAAGTGATTTCGGATCGGATCAAAAAAAGTTAAAACTATTTGAACTTTTTTTATCCGGTCTCGGACGCTTTCGGATCAATATAAGCCAAAAATTTCAACAGACGGCGCACGCCCGGATTATCTCTCGTTCCGATCCGATCCGACCCTCGTTTTCCGGAGTGGAAATTAGCCTTAAGGCATGGGTTGTGGATTTTCCCGGAAAGGAAAATTGTTTAGGGTCCACTTTGTTAGCAACTTGCGACAACAAGGATTTAAGTGTAAAACCTTCTAGGACTTTTTCCACTTGAAATGTCAAATAAATGGGACGCAGATCGTTCTCGAGGAGCTGATATCACGCGTAAGTGGGGGAAAATGAGAGGTAAGACTAAACAAAGAATCATTACATTAACGTGGAAGTTTATGAATTTTGTCTAACATCATTCGGTTCAAAATTTACCGAGTTACAAAATTTAATTGGGGGGGGGTACTTTTTCCATGAATAGTTTTAGCTACTCCCCCAGGCCTGGACCTGGTCTAAGCCACAAATATCCAGGCCAACAA